AAAAAAAAAACTAAGTTTTTTCTTTAAAAAAATTCAATTCTTGTTTTTTTAACCGTAACCTATAATTTTACTTCGTAATATTGACTTGCAATTAATGTCATGCAAGAATAATTCCCGTCACATCACGGATGCGAGAGCATGCACAAAAAACCACCACAAAGTAAAAAAAATGCAATTCAAGTACCTGAGAGGTAATAAAACAACAACCATGGATAGTGACGTGAATAATTTAAGGAGTTTTGATGAGCAGCACATTTTAGTTATATATATATATATATATATATATATATAATCTAATTCTAATTTATTTATTTTTAACTTTGATCTAAGTAAATTTTTAGACATTAATACCCCTACAACGATGCTTTCTAAGAAATGGTGGCCAAATGATAAATATTTGGGACTAAGGGGTTTGCTTTCTCTGTAGTCTCAAGTTCGAGTTCTTGGTTATTCATATGATGGCCACTGGAGATTTATATGGTCGTTAATTTCAGGGTCCATGAGATTAGTCATGTTACACGCAAGCTGACCCGGACACCCCGTTAATCTAAACAAAAAAAAGTATACCGTAGACTTTGTAGTGAAATGAATGTGCAATACAGACAGACAAACTGAGAAAAATAAAGAATCCGGATTCATGGGCAGAGTTTGGCTTTTTTATTTTTTTATATTTTGAATGTAGATGCCCCGTGACAATGTAGTTTCTTCTTTGAAATCAGCTGCTAGCCACTCAAATAAATAAATAAATAAATGCTTATTCTTATGATCACCCTCAGAATTAGCTACTTATCTTCACAGCACTGCTCTCTACATTTAGTAAAATTAATTGAATATTTACCAGCAGCTACCGATCGAGTAGGACAAAATTTTACTTTCAGCACTCTTTTACACCTTTTATGGGTCTCGAAGTTCTTGAAAATTCAGCGTGAGCTACAGTGATTCTGACAATTCTCAATGGTTGCCAATGGGACCACGTGATGAGACTAGCAGTTCCGTTCAAGAGGAGGAAAATTACAGCATATATCTAATTATTTTCAATAAAAATATCTTCTTTTCCATACAATCACTCCCTTTTCATTTTTTTTAAAAATAATTTTAAAACACAAAAACAAAAAAGTTTTATTTATAAAGATTTTCATAACAATTAAACTATTATTTATTCTTCCAAAACATACTTCATTTATAATCTAGTCTATGGATCTCACTTATAATAGGAAAATTAAAAATATACTTCAATTTAAAAAGGCTAACTTAGAAATTTCAAATATAGCTGGCAATCAACTCTACCTTCAACGCAGCACTGCTACTTTGATTAAGTTGTTTGGGTGATGGAAGTTTCGAGGCTAATGGCAAGGAGCTGGAAATAAAAATAAACTAGAAACCCCATTGTCTCTTGAAGGGCTAAGTTAAATGGAGGCTTACAAGTGCCCTTAAGATGCGTTAAACTTATCTAAATGCATTTATTAATCTTAATTTCTTGGATTGAGTTAAAAAAATAATTAAAAACCCTATATTTCAAGAAAATTCAATTACATAATTCAAAAAAAAAAATTACTTTATATGATTTTTTTAAAAAAGTTTATAGTAAATTCCATTGCAGAATAGGAAAATAGAGGTTGAGTATGAGCTTTATATGGGTTTTTACAAGTTTCTCTAGCCAGGATTCATTTCCCACTCAATTAGGAAATTACTGCTCATTTCCTAATTCCGAAAGATTATTAATTTTCTTCAATTATGTACTCTGTTCGTAGAACGAATGATGTTCTGTATAAACGAGAATAACTTCACAGCAACTCATAATTAAAGAAGCCATTGATCTTACTTGTAAATGGCCTATGACCTCCACGCGTGAGCGGCAGTCATGGACGAGCAATGGCGTTAATGGAGTTTTCTGGCATGATTAATTGATTTGGTCCTTTAATCATTGAGATTCGGATAACAACTCTTGGCACCAAAAAAAAGGAAAATTATTCTAAACAACTCAACAATTTTACTCGTAGCTTTCTCCTTTTCTTTCCTGAAAATCTTGTGTGTTCGGAACAGGGTTGAATTACCTTAGGCGGTATGGTCCGAAAGCACAATTTGTTGTTACGAAGCCGGAGCTAGTCAAAGAGATACTGAATAACAAGGATAGATCTTACCCGAAAGGAGATGGTCCAGCCTATTTCAAATTGCTGTTAGGAAACAATGGATTCACAACATCAGAAGATGAAAATGGGTAAAGCATCGAAAATTGTCCATTTATGCTTTCAATGCAGAGAACTTGAAAGTAAGCTCCAACAATTGCTCCTATTTTCATCACCAACAGTTTTCATGGTCATAAATAATCTTTAAATGAAAGTGTTGAGATGACGCTGCAAGTTGGAAACAATACGAAGGTAGAGAGATCGAAGTCTACTCCAGGGTGTTAACTTCAGAAGTTGATTACTAGGACCGCCTTTGGTAGCAGTTACCTGGAAGAGAAGAATGTTCTTGACATGTTGATGAAGTTGTCCTTGATAATACAGAGGAATATCTATAAACATGGGTTTCCTGGTATCAGGCAAGTTCCTCATAGCTGAGCGTAGGGTTTAGACATAAGTGCTGGTGGGATGAGTGAAGTTTCATAAACGGAGAACACCATCAACAACTCAGGATAGAAAAACAAAAGTGATTCTCCAGACAAGGTAGTAGTAATACAGATCTTTTAATCGAACACCTCCTCTTTTCAGTTAATCTTCCATTTTCCTTATGCAGTAAACTGTGAGAGGACCGAGGATGAGACAGAATCTGAGGAACTTGTGAGAGGAATACGCTGCTCTGTGATCGAAATAATAAGGAGGAGAAAAAGGTGAAGAGCGGAGAAGCAAATGGATTTGATGATGATTTTCTTGCAGTTCTCATGAATGCATTCCAAGACACTGATGAGAACAAGAGGATTTCATTAGAAGACCTGGTTGATGAGTGCAAGACATTTTACATTGCTATCCACCAATTCATTGTGCCCGGACTATCCTGCTTTTAGCAATCCATCCAGACTGGTAAGAAGAAGCCAAGATATATGGCCAACAAAAACCAAATCCAGATGGCATTGCAAAACCTAAGATTTTAAGGAAATTACGGAATACAATCATCAAATTCTTACCAATGTCTGCAAATTATTTTATAAACCCGTTACCATTTCACTTCAAGCTCTCGCCAGTTTTCCTCTGGTTTTGTTTTTTTCATGTTGTTGAGCATGATTATCAATGAAACTCTTAAGACTATATCCACAGCCACTTGGAATTTTAAGAAAAGTAGAGAGAGAAATTCAACTTGGGAAGTTTACCCTGCCGGCTAACATTAACGTCTGCATCAATGTTATGGCACTTCGCCATGCCCCTCAAATATGGGGAGAAGATGTGCATTTTTCAAGCCAGAGAGGTTCTCAAAAGGAGTTTCTCAAGCTACACAGAACAACGCTGCTGCATTTTTTTCCATTTGGATCAGGGCCCCTAACTTGTGTCGTATTGAAATTTGCCACAACTGAAAGGAAAATTACTCTTTCATTGATTTTGCAGCGATACTACTTTATCCTTTCCCCAACCTAACCCTACGAGGCAGTTACACTTCGTCCTAAAAAAGGAGTTCAGGCAATCCTTCACTCATCACAGAGTTAGTCTTTTGAAAAATGAACATTCAATGCAACAAAGCCGAAACATGGAAGCATTCAGTCTGTAGCAGATAGAGAATTCAACTGAAAATGCCTCCGGGAGAGGAATAGTTCTTGGTGGCTTTGGAGTTCGGAATAATTATGTCAAGTCGAGTCATGCTAGGACTGTGATTAAGGTAAGGGGTTTTTTGGACCTTCACTTCTAGTTCGCTTCAAATTATAGGTACCATAACTTTGTAAAGTTTCATCTGTTGGGTTCTGTGCTTAACCATTATTGCTGGCGCAGTTTGTATGTAAGATAGGTGATCATGTACTCTCCATTGAACTTCAATTAAATTTCAGCCAAAAAAATAGCAGAATTAACATGCCAAGATGACCATGTAAGCGGTTCATTTAGAGATAATAGGCTTATATCGGAGAAATCCATCGATATTTATGAGCTCATAATGCTAAATTCCAAATGGCATCTATTTACAAGGATTCTCGAGTGATACGGTTTATAGCCTAAAGCAACACTCCAGGAAAGGATGTTCAAAAATGGTTTCTTGCCCGCTGCCTGCACATGGTAGGGATTAGCCTGGGCGGTGAAATCAGCAATACCAACATATTCTATCCTTTCGGCTAAAACTGCCTGGCAAATAATCACTTCTAATCTAATTTGCACAGAACTGGTTCAGATTACTGGAGTCCACTATAGTATAGGAGCCACATTATCTGATGACGCCCGTCTCGTTGCTCTGACTGGCTGACTCTCTTACCCATGTTTCCACCTAATCAAGTTCCAGCCTCATGCAGCCGCCTAGCCTGATTTATTCCGTATTCATTTCAATTTGTTGTTGCTGTCTGGTCCCATTTCTTTACTTGGTACAACTGCAAAATCCAAAGTTGCCTCTATGAGGATATTAACAAATTCAGAGCCAACAACAATAATGACAAGTCCTGAAAATGTCTTCCAGGAGGCAAGTTGTCGAGGTATAGATCGTGTGCTGTCCATAATGTTGCTGATGCTCCTTGATTATGTTATGCCATTGGCTCATCAATTTAATGCTCCATAGACCCTTACATAAATTATGCCAAAATTCGTCCTGTGCATAAGTTATAGAAAAACCTTAATTCAGTGTTCTAGTTCTGCATTATTTTTTGTTGATGTGGAGTGAACTATAACAATATTTTCCAAGGTATGCTTTTGCTTTCAGCATCAAACTATTATAAGCCAGATTCAAATAAATTATTCATGTACGTCACTGGCTGATTATACATCGAATCAAAGCTTTTGGGACCATTTATAAATGCTGAGCTAATGAAAGCAATCTTTTGCAGATTATTTAATACTGCTACATTATTGTCTCAAACTTAGATTCCTAACCCTTCAAAAACCTTAAAAACCAAAAAATACTGAAGATTGTTTTAGTGCGTTTAATACCTACTCTTTGAAATTCGTTGTAGAAGAAGCAAGAGAATGGTTTTTCTAGGAAATATGATAATCCTTCTCTTTAGCTCCTTGTGCATATATCTTACCTTTATGCTCGTCAAGGTCCTTCACAAACTATGGTGGACTCCCATTCGCATACAAAATTTCATGGCTTCTCAGGGAATCAGAGGCCCTTCTTACAGGTTCATCCATGGGAGCACAAAAGAAGTTCTGATCATGAAGAAAGAAGCCATGGCCAAACCCATGACCTTATCACATAACATATTTCCCAAAGTTCTGCCTCAAATTTACACATGGATCAACACATATGGTAACAACTTGTTCAATATGATTCAAACTTCAAGAAAACAGCCAACGAAGTATTTTTTTCTCTTTCTTTGTACTTTTCTTTCTAAAATTCATCTTTGTTTTTTGTGGTGAGTAGGGCGGAATTATCTTAGTTGGTATGGTCCTAAAGCACATTTTGTTGTTTCGGAGCCGGAGCTAGTCAAAGAGATACTAAATAACAAAGATAGATCTTATCCAAAAGGAGACATTCCAGCCTATTTTAGATTGCTGTTAGGGAATGGAGTCTCAACATCAGAAGGTGAAAAATGGACAAAACATAGAAAACTGTCCACTTATGCTTTCAATGCAGAGAACTTGAAAGTAAGCTCCCATCATTCATGTTATTACAATCCTTGTCTGTAATCATCTGATGATCACATGTAAACAATCCTCAAACAAAAAACTCCAAAGACACTGGCAGGGTAAAAAATGCTAGCCTATGAAGGGCAAAGAAATTGTACTTGCAAGCAAACCAGAATCTATCAATTCTCATCACACTAACAACTCAATAAGAGAATATCTGGTCAATTGCTGATTGTGTGGAGGGATGATTTTCAGGATATGATTCCAGAAATGATTGCCAGTGTTGAGATGCTGCTAGAAAGGTGGAAACAGAATGAAGGCAGAGAGATCGAGGTCTACCAAGAACTCAGGTTATTGACGTCAGAAATAATTTCCAGGACAGCCTTTGGGAGTAGTTACGTAGAGGGGAAGGACATTTTTGACATGTTGACGAAGTTGTCCCTGATAATACATAGGAATATCTACAAACTTAGGCTTCCTGGCATAAGGTAAGTTCTCATACCTGAAGGTTTTAGGCCTAATTACTAGTAAAATGATAAGCAGAGAACTTCAGAACCTTGGAGACAATAACTATGTGATTTTGTAGAAGATGATGAATATGCTTAATATGGTTATCTTAATCCAAGACTTGTCCTTTTAGTTAGTGTTCTGCCTTTTTATTTATGTTTTCAGTAAGTTCTGGAGGACTCGGGATGAAATAGAATCAGAGAAACTCGTGAAAGGAATACATAACTCTGTGATGGAGATAATAAAGAAGAGAGAAGAAAAGGTGAAGACTGGAGAAGCAGATGGATTTGGGAATGATTTTCTTGGAGTTCTTTTGAATTCATACCATGATGCGGACGAGAAGAAGAGGATTTCAATAGAAGATTTGGTTGACGAGTGCAAGACATTCTACATTGCCGGACAGGAATCCACTAATTCATTGCTTTCCTGGACCATACTGCTTTTAGCAATCCATACAGATTGGCAAGAGGAAGCCAGAAAGGAGGTGTTCAATATATTTGGCCGGCAAAAACCAAATCTAGATGGCATCGCAAAACTTAAGATTGTAAGGAAATTATAAAATCAAATCTCCAGATAAAAACGCGTTTGGTTTTTACCAACATCTGAAAATATTTTCAAAATTACTTGCCAATCATTCCACTTCAAGCTCTAACTAGTTTTTCTTTTCTTTTCGTTTTTCACGTAGTTGACCATGATTATCAATGAAACTCTAAGATTATATCCTCCGGTGCTTGGCCTCATGAGGAAAGTTGAAAGAGAAGTTCAAATTGGGCAGCTTACTCTACCAGCTAACATGAACCTGTACATTGCTAATGCGGCACTTCACCATGACCCTGAAATATGGGGAGAAGACGTGCATCTTTTCAAGCCAGAAAGGTTCTCAGGAGGAGTTGCTAAAGCTACAAACAACATACCTGCTGCATTTTTTCCCTTTGGGTTAGGACCTCGTACTTGTGTGGGTTTGAACTTTGCCACAACTGAAGCAAAAATTACTCTGTCGATGATTTTGCAGAAATACCTCTTCACCCTTTCCCCAACCTATACCCACTCACCATATGAGGCAGTTACGCTCTGTCCACGAAATGGAGTTCAGGTAATCCTTCATTCATTGTGAGTGAAAGCTGTTGCTTGTTGGAAAAACATAATGCAAATATGGACGCCCTTGAAACTGAAGCTTACAGAGAATTCAACTGAAACCTCTTGGACACGAATTGTTCTATCAGCTTTGTAATAAGATGTCAAGCGTAGAAATAAGTATTTTGTACAGCTTTACAATCCGATTGGCCTTAAATTGATAGGGACTATAGCTTGTCAAGTGTCATTTGCTGTATTTGCCTATTGGGTTCTGTAATTTAACCAGCTTTGTTATACAATTTGTGCCATCAGCCAGGTGTTTATGTGTTCTTTTGGAGCTTCAGTAAACTTTTAGTAAAAACAAACAACAGAAAACATTGAATGTAAAATCTTTTACGGGATAAAAACAGAAGTTTCTTGGTGAAATCCATGGATCATAAATTCAAATTCCTCATTGCTATCTAGAAGACTTCTAATTGGTGTAGTTTATGGACTAAAGGTATGTCCAACAAATTCTAATGCATGTCCATGGGCGGACATGCACATTCATATATACAGGCCAGTATGAATAATCGAAGCATGTCTTCAACCACCAAACGTAAGGGATATATCATGTGGGGATACGACAAGCAACACTAACCTATGCAATCCTGATTAGACAGAAACTTCCAGGCAAACAATCAATCTTGTATCAAACTTGTGTGATTTTTTTTTCTATGTTAATGACATTGTCCATGATGCCTATTTTATTAGAAGGCCAGTTTGTCTGATTTGACAAAATTCCGAAGCTTCAAACACTATTCTGTAATTCACTGATATAAAAAATTCTGAAAGACCTAAACCTGAAAATACTCGATAAATCATGGCAGTGGTGGCCATGCGAACAACGATAATCTTAAAAGCTGTGTATGCCTCTACATTCCTTCGCTTCTCATCAAGTTCATGAACCTAGTATGGTGGACTCCAATCTGCATAAATTCTAGCTTGCATGCGCAAGGAGTAAGAGGCCCTTCTTACAGATTCCTTCAGGTAAATTTTAAAGGGGTCTTCAACTTAAGAGATGGAATTATGCCATCAACCATTCCCTAGAGTTCAACCTCACATTTATTTGTGAATCTTTACATGGTAACTGTTATAACTATTAACCATATATATATGATTGTTAAAATTTAAAACTCCTTGATTGAAAGCTTCTTGCATGCAAATAACTAATTTTGTTAACCATGTAAATATGGTTTGTAAAGAGAATTTCATGGATAGGTAGTGAAGCACAATTGGTAGTTCCTGAACATGAACAGATTAAAGAGATATTGAACAATAGAGATGGAAATTACCTCAAAACTGAGCCCAGACCTTGTAAACGCAGCTGTTTGGGGATGGACTTGTGACAACTAGAGGTGAAAAACGGTTTAAGCTGCGTCAATTGGTCAATCAGGTTTTCCATGGAGAGAGCTTGAAAGTAGTTTCTTGAATTTGTTACTGTGGATAGTTGCTTCTCAAGTGTCCATCAAACATATTTACCTAGTTTTATGTTAACATTCATACACTCATGCAAAGGTGTCAATTATTCAACAGTTTAATAGTTTATTTTAACAACTAGAGGTGAAATTTAGGTATGTCGAAGAGCTTCTTCTAATAACTGACAATATTTTTGTTCTTTATAGGAAACGATTCCAAAATTGATTTCGAGTGTGGAGGTGATGCTTGAAAGACGGAAAAATCATGACGATAGGGAGATTGCGGTATTCCAGGACCTTATAGTTTTGACATCGGAAATAATTTCCAGGACAGCTTTTGGATGCAGAAACCTTCATAAAATAAGAATTCCTGGAATCAGGTGAAGCTTATTGTCTCTCCAATTATTCTATAGACAAATTGGGCTGCATCTTTCACACGTTTACTTTTTATTGTTGTATGCAGAAAATACTTTAAGACACGATGATATTGAAGCAGAGAAACTTGACCTAAGGATAATAAAAAGCATTATAAAGATGATAAAGAAAAGAGAGGAGGGGGAAATGACAGGTGGAATGGATGGTTATAAAGTGACTTTCATGGACAACAAGTGAAGGCCAAGTGCACTTCTTGTCTCGTGTCCTGCATGCAATTTATAAACTCTCGCACTCATCAATCAAGTCATCTATTGTTAATCAGCTCGCCTTGTCAGAACAGCGATGCAAGCAGACTGCCTGGACTGTTTTACTGTTAGCAATGCAAGCACACTGGCAGGAAAAAAGTATGGAACGAGGTCCTTGAATTGTTTGGCCAGCAGAATCCAAGTCCACGAGGCATCTCAAGATTGAAGACTGTGAGCGAAAAGCTGAAAACCACTACAGATTCTGATGTAAACAACTATTTAACTTGTATGTTCAATGCACTCAACTATTTTTTTTTCTTTCCTAGTAGATGAGCATGGTTATCAACGAATCTCTAAGGCTAAACCCCCCAAATATGGAGGTCCATGCTCCATCTCTAGCTCTTCATCGTGACCTTCAAATATAATGAAACAAAGATTGCACACTCAATGGTTCTTCTGCCTATCACCTAAATAAGTCCAGGAACCGGTTCTCCTTCTTGCAATGTCCCCTCAACATGGACTTCGACTCCTGATCCAGGCAGTGTGAAAACAAAAAAAAAAAAAAAAAAAAAGAGTTGAAGATTAAGATTTTCACAACAATCGTTCATTTCATAGACTAGAGTATTACCTGTAATCTCTTCTGAGGATACTGTTATGTTTGTAAATGATGCATTCTAGCCCATAATTTAAAAGTATTATTACCATACATTAAATCTATTAAATTCATTATTTTCATCATTTTATTCAAATTCAACAGTACTGGCATGCTAACTCACCCAAAAGTAAAATAAAGAAAAAGTGTTGTGGTTGATGACTTGATACACATACAATAAAACAACTAGTAAATCATGGTCTGTAATGTATCAAAAGATTGTTAGGATATAAGGCTTTATTTATTTGAAACAGCAGCCAGAAAAATCAATAATTAGATTGCTAAAGAGTGGAAACCAGAGGCCAAATTCACAATTGATCAACAAGATGCAACTTATACTGACCTTGCACACTTATCTACCCCAGAAGCCCATCCCACTGCTCTGAATCCATTAACCATGTCCGGTCATAAAATAATCCGCCCTCATACAGCTTGCTAATGTTGACCCTAATTCATTTCTGAAATTCCGGTGGAGAAGCGGTGACGATGCATTGCTGTTTAGAAGAAGCATCGAATAACATTGACAAGGATGAAAAACAATGGGGCCGAGGTGGTAGTAGAAGTTTCTCTTATGGGCCTAGCATATAGTAGTGTAGCCCAAGTGGGTTTGAATAAAAGATCTGGAAAAAGCTCGTATGACCCAGGCCCAGTAATCAATTAGAATCAGAGTAACTAAATCAAGATGAGAGGGTAGCTTACAGAGATTTCAATTGAAAATGCCTGGTGGTCAAGATTTGTTCTTAGCAGCTTTGGGAACAAGGATGACAAGCAGAGGATGATAAAATATTCTTGATTGAAAGAGACGTATAGTTTTGTCTGTGCAGTCTGATTTTCTGTAGATTGACAGGAACTGTAGCTTGTCAAGTGTCATTCGTTGTATGTTGGTTTTTGGATTCCGTGATTTAACCAGTTCTGTAAAACTCTGTGCCCTCGTCTAGGTGTTCTTGTCTTCCGTTTGGCGGCAACACAACACAGAAAATATCGAAACAGACCCATGTCATGGCCTGGGTAGGATAAAAAACAAACCAGGTTGGTGAAACCCAACGCTCACAAATTCAAATTCTAATCTGTGTCCGTTTCTGTATGTACATGTATTCCTCCTGTGTAAATGTCAGCATGCACGACTCAATTATTGTAGTATGTGGCATAGGGGTATTATTGGAAATTACCAATACCTTATGAACCGACAGTGTTGACTACGAGTTCTTCCTTGTTTCGTCTCATTTGAATATTCATCTTTATTGCAACACAAAAACTGAAAGGGATATGCTGTGGTTTATTACAATGCCAGTCTGTCTGAAATCTGAATCGACAAAATTCTCAAGTTTCTACTACTGTAATTCGATGATCATCGTTGTATAACAAGTTCCTAAAATACACTTTATGCCACCAAGCACAAGCTGAAGATTTTCTAAACTGATCAATATATAAAACATGGCTGTGGTGGCAGCCATGGGAACCGCCATAATCTTTTTTTTTTTTATTTTTTTTTATTTTACGTGGGGTGTCCGGGCCAGCTTACGCGCACCACGACTAATCCCCACGGCTCACTGAACATCCTGCAAGTCCAGTGAGCAGGTAAGGCACCGCGGGGGTGACAGGCGTGCATGGTGAGGTTCGAACCCAGGTACGGAGGAAGAGGACAAACCCCTCCCACCGCTAAGCTAGAACCTCACTTGCGTGTGCCTATTCCTTCTTTTGCTTTTCATCAACTTCTTTAACAAAGTGTGGTGGACCCAAATTCGCATACAATCTGCCTTGCATTCACAAGGAGTGAAAGGCCCTTCTTACAGATTCCTTCATGGAAACTTCCTTTCATGTTGCGTGTGCCTATTCCTTCTTTTGCTTTTCATCAACTTCTTTAACAAAGTGTGGTGGACCCAAATTCGCATACAATCTGCCTTGCATTCACAAGGAGTGAAAGGCCCTTCTTACAGATTCCTTCATGGAAACTTGAAAGAGATCATCAACTTGAGAAAAGAGGCTATGAGCGGTCCCACGGAATTATGCCATCAATCCTTCTCTAGAATTCAACCGCATGTTTATTTATGGAGCAAGCTGCATGGTAACTATTAAACATATGCTAGTTGAAATTTCGAAACCCTCTTCTTGATGGAAATCTTGTTAGATTGAAATCACTAAATATACCGGCCATATTGGTGCAGGGAAGAATTTCTTTTGGTGGAAAGGTAGTCAAGCACAATTGGTAGTCTATGAAACAGAACAGATTAAAGTAGTCTTGAATAATAAAGATGGAAATTACCTCAAACCTGAGGTGCAACCTTATTTAAAGAAGCTCTTTGGGGATGGACTTGTGACAACCAGAGGTGAAAAATGGTTTAAGCTGCGCAAAGTGGCCAATCATGCTTTCCATGGAGAGAGTTTGAAAGTAATTCTTGTATTGTTCTTTTATTTCATTTTGTTGCTTCCGAGTGTCCATCAAACATATTTACGCGGTTGTATATTAAAATGTATATACATATGGATGAAGAGATGATAATTGTCTGAACATTTAAATACTTCATTTGAACAAACAAATGGTGTCATTTAGGCATGTTGAGCTTCTTCGAACAGCTGATAATATTCTTTATAATAGGATATGATTCCGGAAATGGTTTCGAGCGTGGAGATGATGCTTGGGAGATGGAAAGATCATCGAGGCAAGGAGATTGAAGTATTCCAAGACTTCAAGGTCTTAACATCAGAAATAATTTCCAGGACAGCTTTTGGAAGCAGCTACTTGGAAGGGCAGCAGATATTTGAAATATTGACGAGGATGGTTCTCATTTTCTCCAAAAACCTTTTTAGGATGAGAATTCCTGGAATTGGGTTAGCGAACTTCTCTCCTTGATCTCCAATTATTCAATATACAGATTGGAACAGGCACCCCATAGTCCATACAAGTGTCAGGTTGTATATCATGTAACTGTTTCCACATGCTTATTCTTTTACCCCTACCACTTTCTGTTGTTGCAGAAAACTTGTTAAGACACAAGATGATATTCAATCAGAAAAACTTGGCCAAATCATAAGAAACAGTGTCATAAAGATGATAAAGAAAAGAGAGGAGGCGGCAATGGCAGGTGAGATAGATGGTTATGGAAGTGATTTTCTTGGACAACTAGTGAAGGTTTATCGCAGTGCTGATATGACAAGCCGGATAACAATAGATGACTTGATTGATGAGTGCAAGAACTTTTACATTGCTGGACATGAGACAACAACAAGTGCTCTTACATGGATTGTTCTAATGCTAGCAACTCATGCAGATTGGCAGGAAAAAGTAAGGAATGAGATCCTTGAATTGTTTGGCCAACAGAATCCAGGTCTAGAAGGCATTTCAAGATTGAAGACTGTAAGTGAAATCAATATATATAGTCTGGAGTCTAATGAAATTTATCAACAATTGTTTGCTATTTGGTTATGCTCAAACTATAATCTGATTAATTTTGTTTTTAATTTATTGCCTTGTAGATGAGCATGGTTATCAATGAATCTCTAAGGTTATATCCCCCTGTCGTCGGTCTCCTACGTGAAGTAAAAAAAGGAACAAAATTGGGAAATCTAATCATTCCAGAAAAGATGGAGGTCCATGTTCCCTCTCTAGCTCTCCATCATGACCCTCAAATATGGGGAGATGATGTTCACCTTTTCAAGCCTGATAGATTTGCAGAAGGGGTGGCTAAAGCTACTAAAAATAACATTGCTGCATTCCTG